ACTTTTTCACACCACTGTTCCTCTGTTCCTTGACAGTTTTTCCAGAATCCCTCCGCCACCCCTTCTCCGCACTTACAACTATTCCTGTCCTAACCTGTAGGGGGGGATACTCTGGGTTCGGGCCAAAATTCAGAGCTCGGAGCCTCCCCTCGGACAGCACGCCAAATACGCATAACCTGATGATGTTTTAGGTTGGGTTGTGGGCTCTCTGGAGATTCTGGGCAGTCCGGCCAGTCTGGTGCGGAGTATCGGGAACGGCGTGTCGGAATTCTTCCGCTTGCCATACGAGGGTTTGACTCGCGGGCCGGGAGCGTTTATCAGCAGCGTCTCTAGAGGAACAAACTCCTTCATTGTGTGTGTATGTGTGTGTGTGTGTGTGTGAGAGTGTGTGTAGGAGCGATCGCAGGAATCGTAGATCAGCCCATGCAGACGTTCACTCGGACGCTGGAGTTGCCGAACTCGGTGAGCAGCGCGGCCCGCGGCATAATCTCAAGAGTGGGGAAAGACATTGTGGGAGTTTTCACCAAGCCAATCGGAGGAGCAGCTGAGCTGGTGTCACAGACAGGATACGGTACGAGAACATTCATGTAGACGAGCGCAGGAGAGTGTGTTCATGTGCATGTGCAGTGATGTGTGTGTGTGTGTGTGTGTGTGTGTGTGTGTTTGAGTGTGTGTGTGTGTTAGAGGTCGACCGATGTATCGGTTTTGCCGATTAATCGGCACCGATAGTTTTTTGCTGGAACTATCAGTTATCGATAGTCCATTGCTGGAACGGCTGAGAAGGGTCTGCTGTCATTATACAGTACGAGAGCGGCCTCTAGTGGTTGAAATCACTGACAGCACGTGCATATAGATCGCGCTTTCTCTTTCCGTTTGATCTGTTTTTTAAACGCCGAACTTCAAACTCATCCATGCCAAATTGTTCGTTCTTGAAGTAAACTTCTGTCCGTTTGATGATTAAATAAACTGTTTTAGACCGCTGCTCGAGTTGAATCACCAGATCAGCCGATTCAAACTTATACAATGTCATTTAAATAAAATAAAAAAAACTCATGCTGGTATGTGTAGCGTCTTTGTTTGGATTGTAATTAAAATGGAGTGGTTGCCTCTAATCTAATGGCTACACATTTTTACGACCAAACTGGCCTGTTATGTTATTGTTTATTGAACAAATCAGTTGAGTGATTCAGTGAACCATTCTTGCTTGTTCATGAATGAATCAACTGATTTGAATGATCCAGTTAAATACATGCGTTAGTCACTCATTAAAACAGTGATTTGCCACCACCTGCTGGCGATTTTAATTTCATAATTAAAAGTAAGATTTTTATTTCATATATCTATATTCTAAATGTTACATTTAAACTACTATTATTTCAAATGTATAACTGAGAAAGTTCATTTCTGAGGAAAAATAAATAAGGTTGTGGCAAAATTAAAATATACTTGTACCTGTTATACCTGTTTGGAACTGTGACTTGACTTGATCTTTAGCAGGACTCGACTTGACTTGCTTGATTTTTTGCTCTGTGACTTGAGACTTTCTTGAGACTTGAACATGTGTGACTTGCCCCCACCTCTGGCGTCTGCCCCCAACCATCCTGAGAGCTTGAGAGGTGACGAGGCGAGGAGAAGAAGGGCAGATAATTGCCAAATGATGATGATCAAAGCTTGTCGCATCATACCCAAAAATACTTGAGGCTGCTGGTGCCAAACGTGCTTCAACACAGTATTGAGCAAAGGCTGTGAATACTTATGTGCATGTGATTTTTTTCCCCATTTTTTTGAGAGATTTCAAACAAACTTTTTCATGTTGTCATTATGGGGTATTGTTTGTAGAATTTTGAAGAAAATAATCAATTTTGGAATAAGGCTGTAACAACAAAAAGTGAAGCGCTGTGAATACTTTCCGGATGCACTGTAAAAACTTAGTCTAAGTTCAATCCAAAATACAAGACTGATTACCCCTTGGTTAACTGCTAGTTGGACGGACTAGTTCTTAAGACACTGTCTTAACATAGAGGGGCATAAACTATGTTGCATAAACTTATCCTCTATGTTAAGACAGTGTCTTAAGTACGAGTTTGACCAGCTAGCAGTTAGCCAAAGGGTAATCAGTTTTATTTTTGGATTCAACTTAGACTAATCTAAGTTTTTATGTAAGCAAATTGTAAAAATATGACCAGACTTGAAGAAAAAAATAGATGACTAACTTGTAAGACTAGTCTAAACCTTCTATGCAACCAGCCCCAGCTGGATGTTCACACAGAAGTCAAACGTTTAGTGTTTTGTTTATGTTCCTGCACCTGATGGATGTGGTGTGATGCTCATCTGTCTCTCACTGTCTCATGTGTCTCTCTGGTCCATGTCTCATGTCTGTCTCTCACATCTGTGTTTCATGTGTCTTTCTCTCACATCTGTGTCTCATGTGTCTCTCACTGTCTCATGTGTCTTTCTCTGTCTCATGTGTCTCTCACTGTCTCATGTGTCTCTCTCACATCTGTGTCTTATGTGTCTCTCACGGTCTCATGTGTCTGTCTCTCACATCTGTGTCTCGTGTGTCTTTCTCTCACATCTGTCTCATGTGTCTCTCAAACATCTGTCTGTGTCTCTCCCTGTCTCATGTGTCTGTCCCTCACATCTGTGTCTCATGTGTCTGTCTCTCACATCTGTGTCTCATATCTGTCTCATGTGTCTGTCTCTCACTGTCTCATGTGTCTCTCTGGTCCGTGTCTCTCATGCGTCTGTCTCTCACATCTGTGTCTCATGTGTTTGTCTCTCACATCTGTGTCTGTCTCTCACATCTGTGTCTTATGTGTCTCTCACTGTCTCATGTGTCTCTCTGGTCCGTGTCTCATGTGTCTGTCTCTTTCATCTGTGTCTCATATCTGTCTCATGTGTCTGTCTCTTACATCTGTGTCTCTCACTGTCTCATGTGCCTCTCTGGTCCGTGTCTCTCACTGTCTCTTTCATCTGTCTCTCACATCTGTGTCTCATATGTCTGTGTCTCACATCTGTGTCTTATGTGTCTCTCTGGTCGGTGTCTCATGTGTCTGTCTCTTTCATCTGTGTCTCATGTGTCTGTCTCTCACTGTCTCATGTGTCTGTCTCTTTCATCTGTGTCTCATGTGTCTCTCTGGTCCGTGTCTCTCACGCGTCTGTCTCTTTCATCTGTCTCTCACATCTGTGTCTCATGTGTCTGTCTCTCACATCTGTCTGTGTCTCACTGTCTCATGTGTCTGTCTCTCAGATCTGTGTCTCATGTGTCTCTGGTCCGTGTCTCATGTGTCTTTCTCTCACATCTGTCTCATGTGTCTGTCTCTCACATCTGTGTCTCATGTGTCTGTCTCTCACATCTGTGTCTCTCACTGTCACATGTGTCTGTCTCTCACGTGTCTCACTGTCTCATGTGTTTGTCTCTCACATCTGTCTCATGTGTCTGTCTCTCACATCTGTGTCTCTCACTGTCTCATGTGTCTGTCTCTCACGTGTCTCTCACTGTCTCATGTGTTTGTCTCTCACATCTGTCTCATGTGTCTGTCTCTCATATCTGTCTCATGTGTCTGTCTCTCACATCTGTGTCTCATGTGTCTGTCTCTCATATCTGTCTCATGCTCACTGTCTCATGTGTCTGTCTCTCACGTGTCTCTCACTGTCTCATGTGTTTGTCTCTCACATCTGTCTCATGTGTCTGTCTCTCACATCTGTGTCTCATGTGTCTGTCTCTCATATCTGTCTCATGTGTCTGTCTCTTACATCTGTGTCTCTCACTGTCTCATGTGTCTCTCTGGTCCATGTCTCTCACTGTCTCTCATGCGTCTGTCTCTCACATCTGTGTCTTGTGTCTGTCTCTCACATCTGTGTCTTATGTGTGTCTCGTCTGTGTCTCAGGTGGACGGGGCTTGTGAGCGTCTCTCTGAGCTGCAGTACAGTCGGCTGGTGGATTTCGTCACCAGAGCGTCTCAGCATTTGTCTCTGTCGTCCCTCCATCAGCAGCCTCCCAAAACATACCCGTACCAGGCTGAGCCCGCCTTCACACGCGTGTTCGTCTGCAAGTTCAACATGGTGAAAAAGCGCTGCGCATCGGCTTCCACTGACACTCCGTCTTCATGTTTGTGTTATTTAACGAGAGTAAAACACTTCATTAACGTGGCGGGACGTCACTACATCGGCCAGAGCTCATCTCTGATCGGCTGCTTCTGTATAATGTGATGCTTTAAACTAAAAGGCCTTTCGTTTTGTATTTTTATAAGCAATGCAAGAAGGATGATTTACTGTTTTTATTTCATTTGCTCCTGTATTCTTGTCTAATGAGTGTCACTATATAATGAATCTGTTTTTGTTTTTTTTTGTTAATAAAATATAGGTTAAAATTAAGGTTCCGGCTCTGCCTTTGATGCGACGCAAACGTTCATGATTTTCAGCTCTTCATTTCTTTCTGATTCTTCATCTGATCAGATGTGCGTCTGCAGAGGAAACAGTCGTCAGATGATTGTTTGTAATTATTTTACATGCAGTTTTCATCAGATCATAATCCACATGGAATATTTATACTCTTCTCACCTACAGGAACTAACCCATTCGTAAGATAAAGTTTCAGAGCGACATACATGTGAAAGATCTCATGGTCATTATTATAAAGAGCACCATCATCAAATTCAAGAGTTATATTAATTATTGGTAAGATGAGTTCAGTGTGAAACTACAATGTGACAACATTTCAACATGAGCGGTAGTTTAGTTCTGGCAACTGCTGTAACATGAACAATGAGCAATCTGGTTTTAAGGCATTGTTAGTAATAATCCAGACCTCACTGTAACCTGTTAATGTTCTGTTTGTTAACATTAGTTAATCCGTTAGATACCATGAACTAATAATGGACAATACTGACTGCCTTTATTCATCAATTAAATGTTTCACATTACTATTTCATGAAGTTTTGAAAATTAATGTATTAAAAATGTAAATTATTTACCTAATGAAAGTGAACTAATGTTAAGGCGTAAGAGCTCAATCTAAAGCATTATTTTCATTTTTTATTGTATGAATGAATTGGGTCTCAAACTAACAATGAGCAAAACAGTCTCTTTATTAAACTAGTGTAAAACAATTTAATTGTAGTTTAATATATATTAACCTATTAAAAAAATAACTAAATTGAATAGTAAAGAAACTACAGTAAGGTCTTATTTGTTAACATTAATGCTTGTACTAACAATGAGCAGTATATTTTTTACACCATTTATTTCCTTACGTTAACGCTACTAAGTATTGTTCATAACTCACGTTTGCTCATAATAAATTAGCATTACCAATAAAATGTCACGTTTTATAAAAATGTTTAAAACCATATATAATGTTAATCCATGACACTGTTAATATGCCTCTTATTTTAACGTGTTAACAATAGTTTAAGACATCATAGATCAAATTATTTAAATTTAATTGCTAATGTTTCAGTAACCATAAATGTAGCTAAAAGCATCTGCTGGTTGCGTAAATGTAAACAGAAAATAACTGATTTTCCTTCCTGCAAGTTCAGTGAAGCACAAATGAAAGAGATGTCCTTCTTTGAATGCTTTGTTTGAGAAGCACTTAGAGCAAATGGCATATGAAAAAAAAAAAATAAAAATGTGTCGAATAAATGATTAAACTAATTTATTTCGATTTTTTGTCTTTTCAACCTCAAGATCCTCACTGAAAACTGAGCCGATAAACACAGGGTTATTATAGAAAAAAATCATTATTTGAAATAAAATACATTTTAACTAAAATAAACTATAAAAAACATCTTATTTCAGCTAGTTTCCAAGGCAACATTTCTCCTTTTCATCTAATTTAAAGGGATAGTTCACCCAAAAATGAATATTCTGTCATTAATGACTCGCCCTCATGTCGTCCCAAACCCGTAAGAGCTTCGTTCATCTTCAGAACACAACTGAAGATATTTCTGATGAAAGCCGAGCGCTCTCTGAGCCTCCATAGACAGCAAGCATCCGAACACCATCAAGACTCAGAAACATAGCATCGGTAAAATAATCCACGTGACTTTAACTTTATTCAGTTGCATTGCTGTGTATGAAGAGCTCTCGGATTTCATCAAAAATTATGACAGAATTGATCATTTTTGGGTGAATTGTCCCTTTAAATGTGATGTACTAACATTTCTAAAACTAAAACAAATGGAAATGTAAAAAATATACAGACATATTTAAATAAAAACAAAAAATGACAAAAACAGAACTAAATGACTAAAACATTCACTAAACTTAACATGAAAGCAGAAAATATCAAAAATAAAATACAAAAAAAATCAACAAAAGCTATAATAGATTCTCAATGAGACTGAAATAACGGGTGATTCAGACTCATGAAGAAATGCTGATGAAGAGTATATCAATTATATAAATTAAATAAAGCAAGAAAGCTGATGGAGTTCCGAGGTATAAATATATGGGGTTTTTCAAAAAACTAAAACTGATTTAATTTTAGCAAGCTGTTATACACTAAAAACTGTAACCTGAGCAAATTAAACGATCTGCAGCACATACTTACAGTAATGTTTGTAAAAAATTATATATATGGACCATTCCACAGATTTGGTCCAAAGTCAGAGTTGGAAATGTTTAAAAAAAAAAAAAGTATTTTTCCAAAAACAATGTGTATGTATGCAAATTGTATGTTATCCAAGATACACGATGTATTTTCAGAAAGTTTTGGAATATTTGTCCCCTCCCTAAATTTGTCTCTACCGAAACACAGTAATAATTTAATTAGAAGGGTTATATTGACCTATTAAGATTTTGCGTACATCTACATTATAAATATATTTTTTTGATATTTTATAAAAAAAAACTTTTAGAGGTAAATCAATAACAATTACATTTTTAACAATTTTTCATGTGTAATTTATGATTTTTGTTGTATTTTGAATGCAATCTTTCTTTGTAAAAGGTATATCTTTCTGATTTCAAAGTTAAGGTCTCATTAGTTTGAATATATACAGTGGGTACAGAAAGTATTCAGACCCCCTTAAATTTTTCACTCTGTTATTGCGTACATCTACATTATAAATATATTTTTTTGATATTTTATAAAAAAAAACTTTTAGAGGTAAATCAATAACAATTACATTTTTAACAATTTTTCATGTGTAATTTATGATTTTTGTTGTATTTTGAATGCAATCTTTCTTTGTAAAAGGTATATCTTTCTGATTTCAAAGTTAAGGTCTCATTAGTTTGAATATATACAGTGGGTACAGAAAGTATTCAGACCCCCTTAAATTTTTCACTCTGTTACAAAAACTATCATAACATCTCAGTTGATAATTAAGTATTCTTTATTTTTGACAAAACCTCCCATGTTTCGGTAGCGACCACATCACACTGCAGAATTGATCTTGCATACTAAAACACTAGAACATACTAAAATACAAAATTGTGTTTATTTCCCCCAAATAAAGGATTGTGTTTCTTTTTGTCGCTTCTGAAGCAATGACATGTTTCTGTCGTGACAATTCTTTGGGATAACACCCAAAAACAAACAAAGATGTCACTACCGAAACGCCACCTAATGTTTCGGTAGTGACGATTCTAGATACTTTTGAACCAGCACATGGTTAGCTAGCACAGTTCTGAACAGTGGTATACAAATAAAAACTAAATGTTATGGAATAACTCCCAAAACAGTGTGCTTAACTGCAGGACAAAGGTGTTCGGTAGTGACGTTCCTTAAAGCTACACAGCTTTTTTTAACACATTTACCTCAAAATGAAGAGACCAATCACACCTGGTAGCTGAGAGAGAGAGCGACACAGGAATATTTCCCGATCATAAATTCATGTTTAGTCTCAAACATACACTGTTTCGGTAGCGACATGAAAATGCGGGACACATTTGTTTACATAAAGTTTCATAATTTACACAGAAAACAAAATAAATATTCACTTTTTAAAGGAATGAAAAAGATACTTTTAAAAACAACAATGGGAAAAAAAATTCAATATTTTCAGAAGTTGAAATTTAGGGGTTCATTTGGGAAAGTGACCTCCCAATGGAAAGTACCCAATAAATGATGATTTTATATAGATTAGGCTTACTAATATTTTAAATATTATTGTGGGTTTCAGTACATAATAGAAGGATCTTAAATGTGTTTTTGGTTGTGGGGCAGCAGTTCGGACCGATTCTGTAGAATGGCCCATATATATAAATATTGTAGGTAACACTTTATTTTAGTGTCCTTATTACACGTTACATGTACTTACTATTATAATAACACTTAATTATGCATAATTACATGCATGTAACCCTAAACCAAACCCTAACAATATAGTAAGTACATGTAGTTAATTAATATTAATGTATAATTACTGTAACAAGGACACTTTAAAATAAAGTGTAACCCTGGATTACGTCATCAGATCCCAGAAATGAAGCACTTGTGGTTAGAGTATATTACAAGCCGAAATACTCCTAATCAGACTAGTTACCTTCTTAGCGATTACATGATTAGATATTCAAACACTTTAAAAATGCACAAATTCTCATCTGATCCTCTTTCACCAAATATATATTTTTATTTGAAGTACCCGATATTTTAAAATAGTTTAATAATGAAGCACCACATTTGCATGTTCATGGTTCTGACATCGGTTATGGTCACATGACATGCAGGAAAACAAATACTGGTTTTATTTTTTAAATTATGTTTTAATTCAACATTTTTATGATTTAATTAATTATTAGCTTTTCATCAAACTCAAAGCCCCTGCAGTTCCTTCTCAAACCCAATTTGGGAAAACTTGATATAATATAATGTTTCATGTTGTTAATAACATGAACATTTTCTTACTCTTTGTATTTTTATATCAATATGGTACTAAATTATACTATTTAAATCAATGTGATAAACAAGTTAGGTGAAAATCTAAAAGTAGTCGGATTATATTACCTAAATCGTGTAACGTGATGGATTGTTACTAACTACAATTTCTGTCTTGTAGTTTGGAATCAGTAACAGATTAGTTTGTAAGTAATCTACCAGCTCTTCACACTAGTAACAATACACTTAAAACAACAAGTGTTTTCCATCGAGTACCAATGCATTCTGTATATGTAAAAATGAATATATAAAAATATCTACATAAAGACACTCCAGGGATCCCTCTCATGAACTCTTCTGCTCATTCCTCATCAACAGATGACAGAGTTCACTTAGATTTATAGGTAAAAAAGGGCTTTATTTAAAACGATGTATAAAAACAAGCATGTAAAGAGCAATATGTACAAACGTGCAGATACACAGGACCGAGATGATTGCTGTACACAAGTGCAAAACTCATGAGAAGTTCATAATTAAACACACACACACACACTCAGAGGCGCCGGACGTTGCGTT